AAAGAGCATAGGAAGACAAATGATGATTTAAACATTGCCTCCACCCTCCTAAAAAACTTTCACTTGTATATTTTAGAAACTAGTCCCTTTTTGAATACATAAACACCTAACCAACAGAACAAGCTCACTTCTGAAAGAGAGTAATCTCCATAGAGAAACAGCTGTACTGTCAGGAGACAGTGCCCAGGTACTGCCCCTTTAATGCTTATCTTTATCGCATTACAGATGAAGAAACTGAAACCAAAAGAGGAGAAATTACTCAGTGAAGAACAAGCAGTAGGATACCAGAACAGCATCCAAGTTCCAGTCAGCTAAGCCTCCAACACAGGTGGGTAGAAAAAGCAAAGACACCTCATATTTAGGTCTGACTTCTTCCTTAGTGCTCTAGCTAATTTCTCCAAAGGACTCTGAATGTCAAGTCTCCATCATCCATTCACTAGCCCTAATTCTTCTAAATCTTTCCATCTTAATATACACCAGAGCAACCAACTAGCAGTAGGAAGGGCAGGAGGTGGGGTCCAGGCCCTGCACAACCAATCACACACTCCCACAGCAGCTAAGGAATGAAAAGCCAAAAGCATCATGGTCATTTTAGCACCCCAGTTCAGTTCCTGGAATCACGTCTGTCCCAAATGACCGGCCTCCGTGCAGGAAAGGTACACCAGGGGGGTTACCATTTAAGGTCCTAAATTAATGCTCACAGATACAATGGCTACCAAGGGACCTGGATTCAACCCTAAGGACAAATTCTAGGAGTGCAACAGGAGGGAGCAAAGCTCCAATTTCACCAAGGTGTGGACACTGAGAACTCTCATCTCAGGCTCCAGGGAAAATTTTCTGTGATGCTAAAATGAGAAGGAGCATGCCTGGGAAACAAATGACTTTCCTTTACCCAACATTCCTTTGTGTTCCACCACTTTTAAGGCCTCCCTGGCCTCCCCCCAACAGTGGCCTGGGGACTCACTTCCTCACAACATCTTTGGCCATCTCTGAGATCTGGCTCCACTCTTCCTCTGGGAACTCAAAACTGCCTGTCATGATCTTTCTCCGCATATCCTTTGGGATAGTCCGGCTGTGGTGTCTGGAGTAAAAAGGAGGGTATCCGCACAACATCACGTAGATAATCACCCCTAGGGACCACAAGTCACAGCTCTGAAAGCAAAAAGAACATGGTCACTCACAGCAGAGGCACAGCTCTAAAATAAAGTCCCTAGGACTGACCCAGAAACAGCCCCTGATATACACAGGCTGATATCTCCGAGAATCACTTCACAGAGACTGTAAAAGCTTCAGGAAGTCTTAAGAGAATTAACCATTCTCTCCTTATTTGTTACGTGCTACCAACACTACACATGTGCACACCATATATACAAGGCCAGTCTGGGGTAAAATAGTCACTTTTATTCTCACTACTTAGGCCCAAGCTGCTATCTGATTATTGGGTACAGATGTAGGATACTTTGTCCCCAGCCAGAAAAGTGATAGATATAAGCCAGCTGGTTGTGAAACATTTACTCTGTCCACCTGGGCAGGGCTGAGGGTGCAGGAACAAAGCAGCTAGGACACAGGTGGGCTGACTCTATAAAACAGCACAAGTCATCTTATAAAGGCCCAAAGCAGTCTGACAAAGATTGGGGATAGGCACTGCAGGGAAAAACAGGAGGCTAAAAGCAATCCTTTGGCCATGAAGGACTCACTGTGCCCATTTGCAAGACCATTCTTGGGGAAGATATTCTGAACAAAACAAAACTGCCACCAACTACCATGTCTGTAGATATTAAGGTGATTTCATGGCCTGTAGTCACAGCATGCTTATTAATAAAGGACTCCTATTTTAATTAAACGTAGCTCTACCTGCCTCGGAAACTGGGTCCTCAGAGGCTTCAACACAGAGGCTTGTCCTCCTGAATTGCAGGACAAAAGCAGTGTCCACCTGAGAAAGGCAGCCCAGGGAACCTGCCACTGTGGCCACACGCTCCTCACACCCCAGCTGTGCGCTGCTCTGAGTGAAGCCTGGAAAATGAGGTGTCTCAGGTACTCTCAGCCATGTCTTGGCATCATACTAGTAGACATTTATAGATGACATGACCCATGCTGTAGAACATACTTATAAAATTATAGAGGTGAAGAGAAATCTTAAAAAATAGTTCACATGAGGAAACTGATACTACAGAGATCTTGTCATCTCTAAGGTCATCTGTCAAGAGTGAAACTAAGTGCACCAACCAACATCATACAGCTGAATGGTGGTGGAGTCACAGCAAGTCACCTGGCCTACTGCCTCTTTTTCTTTTTCTTTTTAATTAAGGTTGATGTATTTAGTTAACTTTTGAAAATTTAACTACATCTTTTTACATTAGTTTTATTTAAAAAATTATTTGCAAATGTAGCAGTCAGTGTTCACTTAGTTGCCAATATAAAGATTATAACTAGACCAACATATATACACATTCAAAAGTAATATGAACTTATTTCAATATACTACTCATCTGTGGAGTGTAAATTTTATGAATGCCATGCTAATTCACAAACACCACTAGATTCACAAAATGGAACAGGAAGAGTAGAAAAAAATAGTACTGGGAAATAATGTATCACACAAGAATCCACTGTATTCATGATGAGAAGACCGTATCAAGTAAATTAATATCTCTGTTAGCTAAGTGCTTCTACCACTCAATTCCTGCCTGCATTGGGAAGCAGGAAGCAATTTCTGACTGACTATAATCAGCACAGCCCTCACTTCCAACCTTCACTATATAAGGGCACAGCTGCCTACAGTTTTGCAAGTAGATCAAGACGATGTGGAGCAGTTCTTACTTGGGGACTGAACAGTGTTAATCGTGAAAGTAGTTGTTTAGAGTTCTGGTCATGCTGTGCCAGTGCCAGTGCCAATGCAAGTGGAGGGTCCTGAGTGCCACAGAAGCCTGTGTGTTCTTCGATATGTACGCCTGCATGTGTGCACGCACATGCATTAGGAATATGTGGGGCCCTCTAAAGGTGTGGGACCAGGAAGAGCTGGCCTGCCTTTCTACCATCCTCAGCTCCCTCTCTACCATCTATATCACCTGGAGTCCCCAGGCAGCATCATTTTTTTCTGATCTACTCAGTGACTCCAGGACCTCTAGGACCTGTTTCAAGAGGCCCTAAACCTCTCATACTTTAGAACAGAGAAGCATGATGTGTAGGCTACTGATTAAGAACTGTGAAGTACCAGGTAACACTTGGGAGCACTTGCTATGTGTACTAGACACTGTTCTAAGTTGGGTATTTTATGGGGTTAGAAAGAATGGCACCATAAATGGACAAATAATATTCTCTGAAATGGCCTCCACCTCAAAACAGCAAGACAAACATATCTTTTAAATGTGATCAGTGGACTATACAGCTAGCCAAATAAATAACCTCCAGGTGACCATAGCCTTTGGTTCCTGCTGCAAAACTAAACTGGTATGAATCTTATTTCATCAGACAAATACTTGAATTCCACTCTTCTGCATATGTGGCTGCTTTCAGCCTCTTGGGCAGCAATATTAAGGGATAAGAATGGAATCTGCCACCTTCCCAGAGGGCCACAAACACCTCATAGGAGAAGAGGGGCTACACCCAAGGGGTAAAGATTAGTATCTCCTCTCCTACCTTGTTATAAGTGTAGGGTGTTGGCGAGGTAGGTATGATGCCAGATTTCTCCTTCTGATGCCTTCTCTGTGCCTCCAGTACCTGTCAGAGTTATACCAAAGGGGACAGTTTACTGAAAATCACACCAGTGACCTGCAGCTTGAGACAGACTGCTGGAAGGCTGAAGAGGGTAGTCACTGGCAGTCAACAATCAACAACTGAAAAAACTCTACATAAATACTTTCAAAAACATTTTTCTTTCTTGCAATCAGCAATTTATCAGTGTTTGCCTAGGTCAAGGACATGAAGATTAAGTCCCTGAAGGAGATTTATCTCTTTTTCCTCTCGATCTGAGGTTACTTTTCCCTAGGGGAGTCCCTTATGCCTTTGAAAGCAGTGAAAGCAGAATGGTGCTGGCCAGCAGTTCAGGTTCGAGGTATTTGTTGCCATGAGGGACTGTAATAGTCACATGGGTCTGGGTGTTAAGTGCTCCAAGGACATAACCACTGCCATCCACAGGGCCATCCTCCTGGCCAACCTCTCCACTGTCATGGGTAATGGGACTCCTGGAAACACAAGATTGGCAAACCCCATACAGTTCCTTGAAGATGACAGGATACTGCAGCTCTCTGCTGGTATGCTTCATCCTTGCACCCAGATCCACTGCTATTGTCTTGGCCTTCATGGCCACAAAGCTGCTGCTGACAGCAGGTACTGAAAACTGTTACACCTTGGTCAAAGGCTGCACTGCCTCGTTGGGTAACTTTACCAAGGCCACCTTCGATGCCACCTCTAAGACCTACAGCTATCTTACGCCTGACCTCTCGAAGGGGACTGTGCTCACCAAGGCTCCTTATCAGCAATTCATTGACCATCTTATGTTGCACAAGGCTTGTGTTTTCACACAAGAATAATAAAGTGAATTAATTAAACCTGAAAAAGAAAATACCACTTATGAGAGCATAAAAAATTAAGAATTGGGCTTCCCTGGTGGTGCAGTGGTTGAGAGTCCGCCTGCCGATGCAGGGGACAGGGGTTCGTGCCCTGGTCTGGGAAGATCCCACATGCCACGGAGCGGCTGGGCCCGTGAGCCATGGCCGCTGAGCCTGCGCGTCCGGAGCCTGTGCTCCGCAACGGGAGAGGCCACAACAGTGAGAGAGCAGTGAGAGGCCCGCGTACAGAAAAAAAAAAAAAAAAAAAAAAAGAATAAATCTAAAAAGACATGTGAAAGACCTGTACATGAAAACTATACCAGTATTGCTGAGCAAAACCAAAGACAAAAATACAGCTGGCTTATGGGTCAGAGGGCTCAACACTGTTATGATGTCAGTGATCCCATACTGAACTATACGTTTAAAACAACCCTAGTCAAAATCCCAGCATGCTTTTTTGTAGAAGTAAACAGCCAATTCTAAAGTTCATATGGAAATGCAAAGAAATTTGAATAGCCAAAACAACTATGAAAAAGAAGAACAAAGTTGGAGGGCTAAAACTACCTTATCTCAAAAATTATTAAAAAGTGTCAATAATCAAAACAGTATGGTATTAGTGTAAAGACAAAGAGATCAATGGAACAGAGTGGAAAATCCAAAAATAAACCCACACATATACATTCAACTGATTTTTGACAAAGGCTCAGAAGCAATGCAGTAGAGAAAAGATAGCTTTTCAACAAATGGTACTGGAACAACTAGATAGCCAAATGCTAAAAAATGAACTTGGATCCATACCTCACACATTATACAAAAATTAACTCAAAATGGATCACAGACCTAAATGTAAAGCCTAAAATTATAAAACTTGTAGCATAAAATCTTTGTGATCTTGAGTTAGACAGATTTCTTGGATAGAAAACCAAAAGCAGAGTCCATAAAATTTTTTTTAAAAATTAACAAATTGGCCTTCACACCAAAATTAAAATCTTTTGCTCTTCAGAAGATGTTGTTACCACCTCACACCAGTCAGAATGGCCATCTTCAAAAAGTCTACAAATAGGGACTTCCCTGGTGGCACCGTGGTTAAGATTGCAGGGAGCCCAGGTTCGATCTCTGCTCAGGGAACTAGATCCCATTTGCATGCTGCAACTAAGAGTTCATATGCCACAACTAAGGAGCCCACCTGCTGCAACTAAAAAGCCCAAGTGCTGCAACTAAGGAGACTGCAAGCTGCAACTAAGGAGCTGGTGAGCTACAACTAAGGAGCCCACCTGCTGCAACTAAGACCCAGCACAACCAAATAAATAAATATTTTTTTTAAATCTACAAATAATAAATGCTGGAGAGGGTGTGGAGCAAAGGGAACCCTCCTACACTGTTGGTGGGAATGTAAATTGGTGCAGCCACTATGGAAAATAGTATGTAGACTCCTTAAAAAAACTACAAATAGAGTTACCATACGATCCAGTGATCCCACTCCTGGGCGTATATCCAGAAAAGATGAAAACACTAATTTGAAAAGATATATGCCACCCAATGTTCACAGTAGCACTATTTACAATAGGCAAGACATGGAAACAACTTAAATGTCCATCAATAGAGGAATGGATAAAGACAATGTGATACACATACACACACACACACACACACACACACACACACACACACACAATGGAATATTACTCAGCCATAAAAAAGAATGAAGTAATGCCATTTGCAGCAACATGGATGGACCTGGAGATTATCATACTAAGTGAAGTCAGACAAAGACAAATATCATGTGATATCACTTATATGTGGAATCTAAAAAAGTGATGCAAATGAACTCATTCACAAACCAGAAATAGACTCACAGACTTAGAAAACTAACTTATGGTTATCAAAGGGGAAAGTGGGGGAGGGATAAATTGGGAATTTGGGATTAACAGATACCCACTACTATATATAAAATAGATGAACAACAAGGACCTATTGTATAGCACAGGGAACTATATTCAATGTCTTGAAATAACCTATAATGGAAAAGAATCTGAAAAAGTATATATACATGTGTGTGTGTATGTGTGTGTAACTGAATCACTTTGCTGTACACCTGAAACACCGAAAATCAACTATGCTTCAATTTAAAAAAAAAAAAAAAGACACTGTTAAGAGAATGAAAGATAAGCCACAGACTGGAAGAAAATCTTTCCAAAGCATATAATAAATGACTTATATCCAAAATATATTTAAAAAACTGTAGAATTCAGCAATAAGAAAATAAACAATCCAATTTAAAATATGGGGAAAAGATCTGATCCGATACTTCACCAAAGAAAATATACAGACAGCAAAGAAGCACCATGGATGCTCAACGTCATTAGTTATTAGGGAAATGCAAATTGAAACCACAGTGAAATACTGCTACATAGTCACTAAAATGGCTAAAAAGACTGTCCAGGGGACTTCCCTGTGGCACAGTGGTTAAGGCTCCATGCTCCCAATGCAGGGGGCCCGGGTTTGATTCCTGGTTAGGGAACTAGATCCCACATGAATGCTGCAACTAAGGAGCCCATGTGCTGCAACTAAAGAGCCAGCAAGCTGCAACTAAGGAGCCCTTGAGCCACAACTAAGGGGCCTGCCAGCCTAAGGAACCCACGTGTCACAACTAAGGAGCTGGCGAGCCTCAACTAAGGAGCCCGTGAGCCACAACTAAGAACCCTACCTGCCACAACTAAGACCCAGCGCAACCAAATAAATAAATATTAAAAAAAATTAAAATACATAAATAAATAAAAAGACTGTCCATACCAAATGCTAGTAAGAATGTGGAGGACCTGAAACTTTCATACACTGCTGATGGGAATGTAAAATTGAACACCACTTTGGAAAACAACTTGGCAGTTTTTAAATAAGTTAAATACCTCTACCACATGATCTAGCCATTCCACTCTAGGTATTTACCAAGGAGAAAAGGAAATAAATGTCCATCCAAAAACCTGTGCAAAAATGTTTGTAACATGTTTATTTTTAACAGCCAAAAACTGAAAACAACCCAGATGTCCATCAATAGATGAGTGGATAAACTAACCATGGTATATCCACATAGTGGAATACTTCCCAGCAGTAAAAACGAAAGAACTATCGATACATGCAATAACATGGATAAATCTTAAACATAATTTTGCTGAGTGAAAGAAAACACCCCCCAAAAGAAAATACCATACGATGTGCTACTTTATATATAAATCTACAGAAAATGCAAACTAATCTATAATGACAGAAAGCAGATCAACTGCTGCCTGGCAATGAAGGGAAAAATAGAGAGGCAGGGAAGGATTTCAAGGGGCACAATAAAATTTTGGGGGGTGACAAATATGTTCACTACCTTGACTGTGGTGATGGTTTAATGAGTGTGTGTGTGTGTGTGTATGTCAAAACTTATAAGTTGTGCAAGTTAAATATGTATAGTTTATCATGTATCAATTACATCACAATAAAAAAAATTTTTTTAAAGAGGGCTTCCTATATAAAACAAATCTCGAAAAGAATAAGCACCAGCTATATATATATGTATATATATGTATACACACACACACACACACATATAGGTATGTATATATATAAATGACATGCTGGCCATGATGGATTAACCAGTACAACTTGCATTTCTACCATACACAACTAGAATATTGGACAAAATATAAAAAATACCTTTTCTGCCACTGAATAGGCAATACAGGTCAGTGAACCCTGAGAGAGAGCAAGCAAATGTGGTAAGTCCATTAACTACCAAAAGGCACCTTGTGGAATGCAGTTCAGGGAAAGA